AATCAGGTAACGTGATGCTGCCAGTTTTATTTTTGTTTTTCAACAGTTCCTTAGCAATTCGGGGTCTCTTCTGATTCCATACAAATTTTAGGATTATTTGCTCCAGCTTTTTGAAAAATACCGGTGGGATTTTGATTGGAATGGTATTAAAAGTATAGATTGCTCTAGGCAGTATAGACATTTTAACAATGTTTATTCTTCGATCCAAGAGCATGGAATGGTCTTCCATCTTTTTGTGTCTTCTTCAATTTCTTTCATGAGTGTTCTGTAGTTCTTCGAGTACAGATCCTTTACCTCTTTGGTTAGGTTTTTTCCCAGGTATCTTATGGTTCTTGGTGTAAATGGATCTTATATATAAGATCTTACTAACTTACAGTAAATGGAATCGATTCTCTAATTTCCCTTTCTGTATTTTTTTTAAGATTTTATTTATTTATTTGACAGAGAGAGATCACAAGTAGACAGAGAGGCAGGCAGAGAGAGAGAGAGAGAGAGGGAAGCAGGCTCCCTGCTGAGCAGAGAGCCCGATGCGGGACTCGATCCCAGGACCCTGAGATCATGACCTGAGCCGAAGGCAGCGGCTTAACCCACTGAGCCACCCAGGTGCCCCCTTTCTGTATTTTCATTGTTAGTGTATAAGAAAGCCACTGATTTCTGTACATTGACTTTGTATCCTGCCACATTACTGAATTGCTGTATGAGTTCTAGTAGCTTGGGGGTGGAGTCTTTTGGGTTTTCCATATAAAGAATCATGTCATCTGCTAAGAGAGAGAGTTTAACTTCTTCATTGCCAATTTGGATACCTTTTATTTCTCTTTGTTGTCTGATTGCTGTTGCTAGGACTTCTAATACTATGTTGAACAAGAGTAGTGAGAGTGGGCATCCTTGTCGTGTTCCTGATCTCAACGGGAAGGCTGTGAGCTTTGAAAACATTAGTTTGAAAAGATATATGCACTCTATGTTTATGGCAGCATTATTTACAATAGCCAAGATATAGAAGCAATGTTAGAGTCCATCAATAGAGGAACAGATAAGGAAGATGTGGTACACACACACACATGCACACACAAAAATATCATGCAGCTATTAAAAAAGGATGAGACTGTGCAATCTGTGACAACATGGATGGCCCTAGAGGATATTATACTAAGTGAAATAAGTCAGACTGAAAAAGACAAATCCTACATGATTTCACTCATATGTGGAATCTAAGGAAAAAAAATCAATAAACAAAAAACAGAATAAGCCCTGTAAACATAGAGAACAAACTAATAGTTGTCAAAGGGTATGGGAGATAGGCAAAATGGGTGAAGGACAGGGAAGATACAGACTTCCAGTTATGAAATGAATAAATCACAGAAATAAAAAGTACAGCATAATGCATATATATTCAATGATATTATAAATAACAATGTATGCGGATAGATGGTAGCTATACTTGTGGTGAGCACAGCATAGTGTTTAAACTTGTCAAATCACTATTGTGTGTTCCTGCAACAAAAAGGACATTGTGTGTCACCTACACTTGAATTATGAAAGAGAATAAGGCAAAAAATAAAGGAAGAGGGAGTGAGCAATAAAGAAAGGGAAAGAGAGGGGTGCCTGGGTGGCTCAGTGGGTTAAGCCTCTGCCTTCGGCTCAGGTTATGATCTCAGGGTCCTGGGATCGAGTCCCACATCAGGATCTCTGCTCAGTGGGGAGCCTGCTCCCCCCGCCGCCGCCTGGCTCTCTGCCTACTTGTGACCTCTGTCTGTCAAATAAATAAATAAAATCTTAAAAGAAAAAAGAAAGGGAAAGTGGGAGGGAGAGAGGGAAAATGGGAGAGAGGAGACAAGGTTTGGAAAAGAAGGAAGGGGATAAACAGTGATGTGAGAGATTAGATGTTTATATAATACTTTTTCCTATCCATTTCTCATCCAATTCACTTTGGAATATCATAACTTTGCTGATAAAACCAAATACATGAGGTTAACTAGTGTTAACTATTTCTACAGTTTATAGAACACATTCATTCACTGATGATCACGTCTAAGAATGTGTCCTTGTTAATTATAACACCTTAGCAGATTACTGGGCTAAGGTACATGTCTCAAATGAATAAATTAAATCTTAAAAAAATACAGATGAAAGGTTGTGCTGGCACCTATCAGGATAACAAAAGGGTAAAGAGTTCTAACATTTAACTAGAAGAACTTGCAGGCCAAGTCCTAGTCGGTTCTCTCATGAAGATAATTCCATTGGCCTCAGACATTTCACCCTTGCAGTTAAGAAAAGTGTCCCGAAAGTTAGGCAATTTCTGCCTCTTACAACCTCTGTGACCTTGGGAAAATTAATTACTACTTTTGTGTCTTACCTTCCTCACCTATACAGTGGGGGACATGGTAACATCTAACTACTGAAGAATGGATAAGACACTCACTGGCACACAGTAAGGTTTTAATGTGTGTCAGTTCTTAATATATGCATGAGCTAATCCCTCATCAAAAAACTGCCTTTTCTTCTTTCCAAGATTTTACATCCAAATGCAAATGAAACTTGAGACAATGCCCAAGATTGAAGAGGTCAGATATAAAGGATCAAATTATCCCAGAAATATACACGCCAGGGGAAAGCACCACGGTTGGCAGGTCAGGAGGGAGAGAGGTTATCTATAATGAATGCAGAGCATGGTTGAAAGTTTAGGTTTTTTGGAATCCAAATGATGAGGCATGGAGTGTCAGCTTTTTTAATTACTGTGGCAAGACTCTAAGCAAGTTACTTAACCTGTCTCACCATCAGTTTCCTCATCTGAAACATGTACTGGTGCAGTAAAACAATTCCTCTTTCATGAGGACTAAACTAGATACTTTTAAAAATGTGCCTAATACAGTGTGTCAGTAGGTGGTAGGTTAAAAAATATCTTGAGTTCCAGCAATATACTCACACTTCCATTTACTGGGTGGGATAAAAATAAATATACCATGATATGATCCAGCCTCTTAAATGCTTGCAAGCCAATTGGGGAGGCCAGACACATGGATAATGTGCAGTAGAAGACAATTTATGTTTGATTTTCAAATTCCTCTTGTTAAGATGACATTTCTCTTTTTCCTGTTTCTTTATCCGATCATCATTGTCTTACCTATCTCACATATAAAAATTAATGAAACTTTTCCATCCTGAGTTGGGCTATTTAAAATGAAATATTTTATTGCAAAGAAAAAAAGCAAACATACATGATTTCTCATGGCTTGCTTCTACCTTGTCTAAATTTATTTCTTATTAGCAGAAAAATATATTTGTCATAGAATTTTATGGCCAGGGAAGAGACTCATTTTTGTTTTGTTTTCAGGATCTAAAAGAGAAAAACAAATCAAACAGAGTAGGAAGTGACCCTGGAGAGGAGGTCATCTTGACAGATGCTGAAATAAGAGGGGAAGGGAGGAACTAAAAGGTTTGGAATATCTCAGAGACGTAGGCTGAAAAATGTTTTGGTAATGGGATGGGGTGTGACTCTATACCTATAAACATTAAAAAAATAAACACAACTGTTTTTCTCATTAAAAAAAAACAGAAACATTAGTTATGTTAAAGAAAAAAGCTTAACATATCCCTTTTACTGAACGTTCTCACTTGGAGACTTAAATTAGCTGTTCAGCCTCTGTTTCCTTTCCTCAAAGGCAAAGGCTGGAGAACCCAGCAACTTGTAGGGTTTAAAAACATGGTGCTCAAGTGCCACCACAGCTGTGTTTTACTACCAGCCCCAGGGAGAGACCTCAACCTAAACTCCTCCTCACTTACATCCTAGTGGCTTGTTGGGTACAGAGCTAACTGGAGTGTAGACTGCACTAGGTTGCTGAGACCATGTTGAGTGAAGAGAAACAATTTTCCACTGGGGAAAACAGGAAGGGAATAGATGGTTCTTGGCAATGTGTTCGTATCCCAGAAAGCATTAGGGGGTAACTACATGAAGGCAAAAAATATACTCCCCAGAATAGAACTAGAAATCATTAGACAACAATATCTATCATCGAAGGGCAAAGGTTCTGCGGCCATACCCCCTGAACATACCTGTTGTCATTTAAATGCAGACACTAAGCAGAAAAGAGCCTGATTAGTGCTTGGGTAGGAGACCAAGAGCAAGAGAAAAAGAATTAGCCCCTGAGTCTCTGGAGAAAAAAAGTGCGTTCTCTATTGAAAGCACATTGAGAATTAATAACGCTTGCTTTACAATATGGACATTAAGTGACATTTCTGAGTTTCTCAAAGTCAGCTCATTTTCTTTGGTTTTGTATTTTGGAACACCATTTTTCATTGGGGGTCAGAGGATATAATGAATGGGGTAAATTAAAAGGTATCAAGAGAATCAATGAGACCCACAGATTTAAAGGGCGTCATGCAAAAAGAAGTGGATATTTCTGGCTCACCCACAGTGCAAAATGCAGTTCCATTTGAACTCATGACCTGAGCTGTTTCATCACCGTGGGGCACCCACTGTTGATGTCTACAATGTTGATGAGCTTCAGGTGGAAGAAAGCCACCCACCCAAAAGGCTATTTTGATAGCAACTACTGACAGTGAATTCAGTTTAATAGTCTCCAGCTTATATTTTCTAAACCCCAAACTCAGCTGCTAAGTTATCATATTTGAAATACTAGTGGGAATGTTATCACTCTGAACCTCTGGGTAAAACGTTTTTGCTCTTTGTTTTTTTTTTTTTTTTGTTTTGTTTTTGTTTTTGTTTTGCAATCTCACCATCATTTTCATTTAGTTTACATTTCTAGTCATTTGTACAGATGTTGATGGAGCTGTATTTTTGCTTCAATGTCTATTGCAACATTCTTATTGCATTCCGCAGGTCCTCCAGTAAACGTTACTTGCAATATTTTTATCAACAGTTTTGGATCGGTCACAGAAACCACCATGGTAAGTGCTACGATGCCACTGGCAAGAGAAAAACATGACTTGATTATGCTATGAACACAACCTGTCAAATTTTCTATTTATTGTTCAACTTGCAGGGCCTCCTGTAAATGTTACCTGCAACATATTTATCAACAGCTTTGGGTCAATAGCAGAAACTACAATGGTGAGTGGGACTGAGCATTGAAGCCCTCGTGTGAACGAATGGGATATGGGATCGAAGAAGCACTGTTTTATATTGTGGGACACTTACTGGATGCCAATTTCCAAGTTCATTTACCTCTAGAAAGCGATTATTTATAAACTTTCATTTTAGAAAGTCATTAGTCAAATGTTCCTTACTTCAAAGTCAATAATGTCTTATCCCCATGCCTGAGAAATTTTGAAAACACTTGCTGTGTGGTTGGATTTAAGTCAGTAATAAGCATAGTGTAACATTAAGGATATTTTAATATTTGTATCTCTAATGTTTCAGAAATATATATTTCATAGTTTAGGAGATATATTTTATAGCCAGTCTTTTTCATATAATGGAAGTTTTAACACAGTCAAGCCTTAGATATGCTACACTTAAGATATATGCTGAAGGTGCAGACCTTGTAATAAACACACACACACACACACACACACACACACACACACACACACACACTCTTGTTGGCAAAAGATAGTGGTCCCAAATCCATAGTAATTACATCACATGCATGGCTCCCTCCACCAAAAAAACCGAGTAAACATAAAATTAATTAGAAGCTCATCATAATGTATGTGCAAACATGTTTCATGTAAATGAAACAGATTTTAGATACTATAAAATCCACCAATATTCCTTAAAAATGTCTTGGTGATGGTGTTGCTTGAGACACAGCCTATTAGATCAATAGCCTTATAGTGCTAGGCAATAGTGTGGAGACTGAATTTGGATGAAATTTCTTCTTGCTCCTCATAGGACTTATTTTAAGTTCTAAATCAATTTGCTGGTTCTAATATTCATGACTATGTAAGGTATACAGCCATATTATTGAATGAAGTCAAAATAAAATATAGTTGAGCTTGACTAAGTACTATGGTGGCTGATGTCCTAGAAACACTCAAGTGAAATAATGAGCATAATACCATTGAGAAGTAAAAAATAGTGTTCCCTTGTCTTTATAAATTTTCTCTTTTAGGCTATTAGGTTTGTGTTTAACAAATGACTGTACTTTTTGGTGTCCTCAATGCTAGAAAAAGTAATTTACCTTTTACCATTCCTTTTCACTGGCAAAATTAGACATAATGGAACTCTACTACCCACTTTAATATTACTGACACAGCATTGTCCAGAAATGAGACTTCTGGTGCTCTGACAGGATGTAGTGCTTTAAGAATTTTACTCAAATAAGATAGTTCTGATAGGGTTATTAAGTGACTCACAAGAAAAAGTAAACAGAAAAAGACTAATCCAACTCTGGGCTTGGCATTCAGTTTCTGTCTCTCCCCTCTTGGTTTTATCCTGAGAACAGAGGGGCAAATCTTCCAGTAGCCCAAATCACTGTCACCAGCTTTACACGATGGCATTCAATGACGATATTTGCACGACCTAATGCTGATTGCATTAATTAGAATCCTAAGTTGCTTTGATCAAATCTCCTCATTGCATTTACCCTCAATCAAAAATGTAAATGTGCACCTTTTCAATGTTTATTAATGTGAGAAAAAGCTAAACATTCACGGAGATGAAAATGGAAACTCTAGATGTCCTTGTTTTCCTGTGTCTTTAATAGCTACTGATGGTGTTTAATAAATGGGCTGCTTAGGGGCTTCCTGGCCACTTATTAAGGCGTCCTTTGTCATGTTTCCTACGAGAAAACTTGGAAATCATTGCTCAAGTGTAAAATGAACAGCCTGCCTATCTTGCTGTATGAGATAGACAGCATCGCATGGTCAGAAGAGTGATGCTTATTGTGCTTCTTTTATTTCTTAGCTTTTGATGGAATGACAAACTTCAACTGGATTTTAAAAAGGATCTTTTCTTCAATTAAAGCTTTCATGTGAAACTAAAATAGATGTTTTTTGAAACTCTATCAGGCTTAATAAATACTCATGCCATGTTGGGTAGGGACTGGCCAATATTTTTTCTGTAAAAGGCCAGACAGTAAATACCTAAGACTTTGAGGGCCCGAGAGTCTCTGAGTCACCACTGCTCAAGGCTGCCCTTTGGGCAGGAAAGCAACCATAAACGATAGTAAGCAAATGGGTGTGGCTGTACTCCAAAAAACAGGCTGTGGCCAAATTTGGCCTGTAGGCTCTAGATCACCAATCCTGGACCTGAGGCATTAGTATTTAAATAGATGTCAATCAGATGCTCACAAGAATATGAGAGTTGAGTTATTCTACTTTGGAAGAAATCTATCTTGCTAGACCCATGGGGCCCTGCCTGGGAAGCCACCCTCTGCGCCAGAGAATATCATCGTAGCCCAAGCTTCCCTTACCCAAACCTTGAGATTCCCCCACCCGTGAATTGACCGACACTTTCACAAATTCTGACTGAAAGAAAATTGGTCAAAAAAGTTAAACAGAACCAGATTTTTCTCTGAACTGTCTTTAATTGAAGTCAGAACATCAGACCCTTAGTTTTTCTGCATAGTAATGTACATGGTCACTGAGGACATGTCCCAGTGCTATTGGAGAGCAATAATAATTTTGCTTTCTCTCTGTTTTCTGGAAGGAATTTTTCCAAGAATGCCTCAGAATTTTGAGTTTCTAAACATATCAATTTTTCCCCTTTTCCCCCATTCTCACTCTATAGCCCTGATAGCTTTATTAAAGGATCCAGCTTGGGTATTTGTTTGTTTCTAAATAAGAGACAATGACTATCCATTTTAAGAACTCAGGATGACTTTCTTCCGGTTCTATTGAGTTTGCTCCTCTTATGTTTGATGTTATCTCATTAAATTACTGTTGGTATTACCTGTCCACAAAGCATAGGCTTACTTATAGACCCAATACTGCCTCTTACTCCTCTGATATGTTAGTGCTGAAGATATGTGATTGGAAGACAATGTATTTGTGTTATTCTAAGGAAAACTTTCATGAGTCATTATGATGATATACATTATTCCAAAATACACGTCTTTTTTTTTTTTTTTTTTTTTTTTTTTTTTTTTTTTTAAGTAGGCTCCATGCCCGGTGTGGAGCCCAGCCTGGGGTTTGAACTCATGACCCTGGGATTAAGACCTGAGCTGAGATCAAGAGTTGGATGGTTAATGGACTGAACCACCCAAGTGCCCCTAAAATACACACTTTTCTTCATGAAGAATCACAAGGATCTGTTGATGGTCATTGCTAGTTGACCCTGTATTAAGAGATTTCTGTAGAACAAGATTTTTGTGGTTCCAAATGACACTTAGGAGACTAGTAAGGAATGTATGATGAAACAGGTTATATTTTGTTTTGAGAATGTCAATTTACCATTTCTTTTTCTCCCCCGCTCCTTTACTTTAGTTGCTGATGGCGAGTGAATTTAGAGGATGGGGAGTATATTGCAACTCCCACTTTCCTGATATAAAGACATACTTTGGGGATATTATAATGTCAGTAAAGGTCAAGAGTATTTGCATACCATCTGCATGCAGCTCTCCCCAAGCCTGGGCCATCAGAAAATGAAGAGGAGAGAGTCTCAAACATCTGGGTGGCTAGAATGTGACTCGGACCAGTGAGTGCTGGAACACTCCCCATGCCACAGTAGCAAATCCCGACTCCCTCCTGTTTAACGGATTTGAGGTGGGGGAGAAAGAGCTAAAAATGCATGAAATGTGTTCCCTCAGAGAGTATCTCCATAATATAATTCCAGCTCCCCCAAACTTGTCCGCACAAGATAAGTTCCATATGCTCTGCTGGTTACTGCAGCAGAGCGAAGCGGTCTTTCATCTCGGATCTGAAATCATGTTCTGAGGAAGTGGATAAGAGGTAGACAGCCCCTTAGGAGGACGCCTGCTGGGCTGGGACTGCTGAACTGACATGATGGGCTCCCTTTCATTCTATAGCTGCATCAGCAAGTCATGAGGAGATACTAACTTAGCAGGAAGAGCAGGTAGCTATATTTCTTATTTCTAACTTCTTAAGGAAGAACCAAGAATCTACCCCAAGCCTGGCATTTTGTTCAACTGAGATAGAAGGTGACTTTGGTCTCTAAATTAACAGTGCAATGTTAAAGCCTGAATTCATCATGAAACAAGTGCACCCTCCCCCAAATTTCAAATTCAAGGCTAACTTCCCATATCAAAGTGAGCACAGACTCAGGAGGATGAAAACTTTACTGCAGTGTAACCAGAGGTTAAAACCAAAGGGCCAAACTGGCACTGTGGGGAATCAACAAAGCAAATCCTTGTGGTTGATAACTTTATAACATAATTGGATGGAGAAATGTATACATATAAAAATAATAAGAGAGTAACAGTAAGGTTTAATGCAAGTATGTATGAAACAGAGTGGCAGTCTCTGTGCATAAATGCTGGACCAAATACAGTAGTACCAAAATAATTCAATTTAAGGAAACCATCTGTGGCATGGGCATAGGATTAGAGGGTATTAGGAAAAGTGAAACTTTAGAAATAATAAACTCGATGTGAAATCATAGTATGGAATGTAGGTACTTGTAGTACCTGTGTTAAGAATATAATAAAGATTATATGACTTAGAAAAAATACATATGTATTTGCACATATATACATATTTTTTCATTCAAATGTTTCCAGGACCTAATCTAATACTCAGACAATCATACGAAAACAAATTGTAATATGAAGTATATGACATTTATTTGAAATACAATGTCTTTGTAGAGAGAAGGCAGTATAAGGGAAAATTCAGTCTACATTTTAGCATGTCTCTCAATATTTACTTCGCCTTTAATATTTTATTAAACCTAGAAGCAAACACAAAGACAAAGCAAAACTACAGAAGAATATAACTATCTCCTGTGGTTTGGAATATCATGAGGAAATAAACTTAACTCTAAATAAACAGAGATGATGCAGAGAGAAATCACATGTGTCAAATTTTTACCCTACAGTGAAAATCATAGTGAACTGAGTTACAAAGGTCCAGTCCCAGAAAAATCTTCTCCTTGCATGTCTATGTCTGTAGTTCCTTGGATGTCTTTTTCTAAAAGGTTTTAAGGGTTGCTGTTTATTTTAGAATAGCGTATATCATCATAAACAAAAGCATGGAAAATTTTAATTCTTATATATTTATATAAAGAACAAATACCCCCAAAAGATCTAATAAAAGTTGTATTCCATCTAATTCTTGTCATTGTGGCACAAACTATATTTTTCCTCTAAGTTTTCTACTTATCCTTGCTTATGAATAGGATTAATTTATTTTAAATTAACTGTTGGACATTTAATGGTTTTATTGTGATATGACAGACTCAGTATTCTTTTTCAAGTTCTAATATTGGGAAAATCTATTTTATCATTTCTATATATAAAATTCAAAGTAGAAAACCAGGAAACACTGGAGAAAAATACTCATGGGAAAGACTTTTTTAAAAGATGCGCATTAGCTGTGAAAATTTATATTAAGATTTTTTAAAGGTCAATGTTTTCATATTGTATGTCATCATGTAATATTTTCTAGAGTCTCTCAATATACAGTTTTAAGTCATTCTCAGGCTCAAGGGAGAATTGCAATGATGTTCTCTTGCTGATTTTGGTGCCCAGTACTGTCTATCTGGCTTCTCTGGTCTTTCCCATCCTATAAGTGCTTCCTGGGCAGGGGTGGGGCCTCCTTGGCTTCCCAATGGCCTAAGATATTTAACCTATTCACCTCTATTCTAGCTGTCTACTAGACTAACCAGTAAGAAACTCTCTCCAGAAATGTCTAAGGGACGAGATTCTCTGAGATTCTCTTCTCTCCTACTTCCTACTGAAACAAGCTCATAGACCACCCCCAATCCCTTCACAACCCCTCCCACACACAACATTTTGTTAAGGAAAACTGGTTCCTACCCTGAAGAGTAGATGTCAAACACTGGAGAAGCTGCATTTTTTTCTCCCTCAGAAAACCTTAAGGAAAGCTCATAGTTGATGTACCTAGTTCATACTTAGATGTAAGTTGGATTATTATATTTCCAATAGCCCCCCCTTTTGATTTTTTTTTTTACATATCACACAACCTCACTCTTTATTCACACAATTCCAAAGCTTCCAGTAACTCCTGTTGCCAATGAAACACTGAACTGATCATCTCCCGTTACAATCCTCTGGTCCCTTTGAACAATTCCAAAACTATACGATGGGAACATCTTTGAGATTCTGCTATTCCCTTAATTCAGTCATTTGAGGAGTGAGTGAGCAAACAGGATGGGATAGAAGCCTGACTAGGCCCACAATAGTGCCCTCTTAGATTTGAAAATTTGCCATGCATTCCTGGTAAAATTCCAAATAAAAGTCAGCTGATAAAATTTTCTAAGTCAGAAAGTTCTTATGTTGTACAACAGAGAACCTTAAGGTTATTTCTTTTAATATTTCAGCCTTTCCAAATGAGCTGGGTTTTGATGACTGACTTTCAGAAATTAGTAATTATTTGGTCATTAGTATTCTTTAAACCTATGTTGGGCACTATTTCCAACACCTATCACCTCCAAAATACTCTATCAGCCTGATAAATTAGGATGGCTGTATTTGAAAAAATGTCATAGGAGTTTAGATAGCTTAGTAGAAGGAATTTGATTGAAGCTCTTTTCCACATACCCTAATCTTTACAACTTATTTTTTTCTTTTGGCCCTGAGGGAATGAACCCCAACTGACCATCCTGAGGTGGTCTCCACTGTACCTAATAGAGTAATCAACCATCCTAGTTTTGCCTAGAACTGAATGGGTCCCCTGAATATGTGACTTCGGGGGTTAAAAGTGGGAGGTTCTCAGGCAAACCTGGACAAGGTGGTCACCATTAGAGTAAAATAAACAATAACCAAAAATCCAGGTGCCAAAGATGTGGGGATGGAGCAAACAGTGAAAAATGAAAAGGAAAGAGAGTAAGAAGGTATGAGTATGTATCACTCTAAGTGACCATAAGTATCAGGAGTGAACAACTCTTAGCTCTGAACTATAGTACTGCTTGACTAGAGAATACTGTTAAAGCCTCTTTTGGGGTCCACTCCACCAAGCAAAGCAACAGTTTTCACAAACCTAAAGAAAGATCTTTGAGTAGATATTCCCAGAAAAGAAGTCACTGCCTCAGGCTGATTTACTGACAAAGAAGTAAATTCCCAGATCAAGTGGGAATGACACTTCCATAAAGAAGAACACCTTCATCATAAGGTGCTCAGATTAGGAAAACATGAAAAATATCTCTGTATTGATGAAGTATCAACTACTATAGATACAACCCATTCAGAGAAATGATAAAATATTTAAGAATTTTTAAAGTAAGTAGTGTGAGAGAATTATCTTGTCAACATGAAGCATCTTAATATTTATGGAGGTGAATTTTAAAATATTGTCCCATCATGTCAGAGTTTTATAATAAGATTTCTACTACCAAAATTACAGAGTGGGTTTCCTTTTGCCCAGAGCATCTGAGCAGAATGAGAATAGAGATATGTCATTTCTGATGTGGAAAATGAATCAGTTTTGACAATCTACCATCACAGTGTGACTTCTGTACTCATGGTTACCTTTTTCTATGGAAAAACCAGCTTGAGCTAGTATTATTTCCTCCCAGGATGAGTGATTTAAATTTAAGCATAAAAAAATTCAACCAATTCAATGTGTTCCATTAGTGTTCTGGTTTGGTTGAGCCTTCTTTCTTTCTCCCCTCTGTTCCCACTCCTAATAGAACTTAGTGTTTTATTTTGGCCAAGATATACATAGCCTGGTTTGTATAGACACAGATATTGCACCAAATCAGGGAGAAGAGAGGGGAAATGTAGATGGACCTCTTATGCCAGACTGCATGATAAGTAACTCTTATGCATGGGGTTTCCATAGGACTACCGAGTGAACATTTTTCTGAGACAACAGTGGAATGATTCACGGCTGGCATATAGCGAGTACCCTGATGATTCCCTGGACTTGGACCCATCCATGCTTGACTCCATTTGGAAACCAGATTTATTCTTTGCCAATGAGAAGGGAGCCAACTTCCATGATGTCACCACTGACAACAAATTGCTTCGAATTTCAAAAAATGGCAAAGTACTCTACAGTATCAGGTAAGCTTCTGTTGGCTGTACCTATCTACTTCTCCATTTCTCTCCTGGCCTAGTGCTGCCTGATTCTAGTGGCTAAGTTGTATATAATCATTTGGATTTTGTGGTCTCTTGGTTATCATTTGAATCTTAAAATTGGTGAGAATGCCAGAAGTTCCCATGGCCTCAGAAGTATGATTCTCCACAACAACAAAATACATATATTTTTTATTTATATATAAAATTTACATGTATATAATTTGCATATATAAATTTATTATATATATATGAAGACAGTGAGTGGATATCATGTAAATACCTGCATATGTGTATTTTTGATTGCTTCAATAAAAGAAGTACAGGCCTTTAGTTCAATTAATCATTGAGCATAATGTAAAAATTCTCCATTTCAAATAATTTTGCCATTCTTTAACGTGTAACCACACATACAAAAACATTCAATGGCTCAGCATGGTCATTGACAGTATACTTTGGTCTGGGTGAGTGAAAAACTAGTTCTCATCTCAGATCTGCTTCTAACCAAACATGTAACCTTGATCTCTCAACTTTTCCTGGGCTTGAGCTTGGGAGTGACAAATCTCGAGATCCATTTTTGCTTTTACATTCAAATATGATCTTCTATAGAATTGTTATCACCCTAACCTAAAATCCTATCTTTCTTTTCTGAACTCTAGTTCCTCTGTGATTCTATAAGGCTCTTATTTCTTCTTACCTCATATTTTGGCTATTTTTGTATATGAATTTAGCATAAGAACATGGATCTTTGGAGTCACACAATCTCGAATTGAATCCAAATTTTGTCACTAAGTTACATAACCTATAACTTTCAGTTACCTAATTGTAAAAAAAGGAGCACTATATTTATCTCTAAGTATTCTTGTGAGAATGAATGATATAGATTAGAGAGTAGAGGTCAGCAAATATTTTCTGTAAAGGTCTAGACAGTAAGTACCTCAGCTGTGTAGGCCAGACTGTCTCAACTCTGTCACAACTACTCAACGCTACCATTGTAGCACAAAAGCAAGCCATAGACAATATTCAAACAACTGAGTGTTCTGTGCTTCAATAAAATGTTATTTATAAAACTAGAGAGTGGACTAGATTTGGCCCTTTGGTCAAAATTTGCCAATCTCTGATACATATATATGCATATAGAAATACTTGCCATAATACCTGACACAGAGTATGTGCTCAGTAAATGAAATGATGGCTGTCTGTATTTTAAAGTTAACATTTTTTCCTAATAGTAAGCTCTTTAAAGCCAAGACATTTAGATTTTGCACCTTCTGTAACTCCTTTGGAAGGTCCAAGAAGATGTACTGTATATGAGAGATATTTGTTAAATAAATATTGACATTTTAAAGATGTTTTATAGAATATTCCCTTTCTCTCCAATCTTATCACGAAAGAAAATGGACAGACAGCTTGTATCCTTGCAAATAATCTTCAAAAGTCTGTAGAGTCACCACCATCAAACCTCATTTCACAACTGTATACAATTTAGGTCTGCACCGCATATTCCATTCTTAACCTGGTAATTTCACAGTTTGCTGATGTCTGACAGACTGGGTGTCTTGTGAGATGAAAGAGGCTGCTTATTTGTAAAAATTGGCAAAGTTACTGCTTACATAAAAACCAGGAAACTTCCTCCACTTGATTTTTAAGGAACTTTACTTTTATTTTTATTTTTATAAACATTTTAAGGAAACATAATATTCCATGTGTTTGATGTAAGATGCAGTATTGGGCACAACCTAAGTTGATGTGACCTGATGAAATGGGACATATGTGGAGCGTGGTGCTAGGGAGGAGAGTTATAAAAAGCAGCACAGGGTATCAGCTGCTTCAGCTAACCCCCTGGGCCTTGGGTGGCATTTGCTCTAGTAAATACCTGGCATCGTGTACTGCTGAAATAAAACCAACTTTTTTCCCTTCTGTTCTATGAAGGCCTTTCCAATCTAGAACCATGAAGAATATAATGTTCCCCAGACCTAGATCTGGTAATTCTTCCATCTCTCATTTGCACTGTAGCATATTATAAGCTCTGAAACACCCTGACAATTGTTTTAGATTGAGTAGAGTTTGTCCCGGCACAGGCTGCTTTAGATTTTTCCTTCATTTTGGGTGCTCTATGAAATCAGAGGAAAGATCCTTGGTGTAGGAGAACTGGGCATGCCATTTTAGAGAAACACAGCTCTTGGGAGAATTGAACGACAGGAATCTAATTATTTGCCTGGAAGGATTTTCAATGAGCCAGACACTGTGCTAGGCCTAGAGATCCAGAGCTGAGTAAGATACAGTCTCTGCCCTGGAAGGGCTCCAGTCTAACAAGGCAGGCAGAATAAGATAAATTAAATAATAGGAATAAATGAGGAACAAGGAAAAGAAAAGTGGCTCTTACTTTGCAAATGAATGTGTGACTCAAATCTTGTTAGAATTCAGGGCCTGGCACCTACTTATCTGTTTACCTGAGTCACTGGACTCAATTTAACTAGAAGGCAAGGAGTAATTAGTGCTAATATATGCCCAGCTGCAGGTCCGATTCAAGTTTAAGGCCAAGCAGGTGACAGTTTCTGATGTCTTAAAGGTGCTGGAAAGATTCCTGCTGATGTTGCATTAGGAAAGATTTTTCTCTCTACTCTCAGGTTTACAATGTAAATATCTATAGAAGAGGGAATCCATTGACTTACATTCATACTAAGCTGTAAAGAGCTGATACGAAATTTTCATTCTGATAGTACATTTGATGCCTATGAAGATGAGAAATCAGGATGAAGATGGTTAATAAAGATACGAGGAAGGGATACAACTGAAGTACCAAAGAAAAATTCATAAATTGCCTCTACCTTATATATTTAAATAACTACTTAAACATTGGTCCACATTAAAAATATAATGTTCTCTGGTGATGTTTTATATTTGCATTTTCTGAAACCTAAAACAAATGGAGGATAGCATTTCATCCATGAACATTCCATGCTTTCTTGGCTTTGTAGAAGCAGAAGTAAAATTAACTCCGCATGGAAACCAAAGCCTAAGGTTTTGACGCCCAAACAGAACACAAAGAGAACTACGCAGTCCATTGATTTCATAACAAGCAAGATCACATTTTTCAGGAAACTTCCTAAAAGACAGCAGTTTAAAAAAGAGGGGACAGTAGACTAAAACTCCACAAGTATCCTGCAGATTCCAACACTTGGTGTACTTAAGTAAAATTCAAACAAATCTTTTAAATAGGAGCTAAAAATGTTAGATCATTGTTAGAAAATTTCTATCCAGTTCGGCAGGACACAGTCTTTGCTGGTGAGAAGTTGTCAAATCTATTTTTGTCCACTTCTCTTCTGATTTCTTCTTTGATATTCACTTCCCTAATACATTGGATCTCACTCTTTGTTTTCTTTTTAAGTTTTTGTTGACCTACTACATTAAGTATTGATCATCCATGACCGAAGTATAACCAAGGACACACATCTTGCTTTCTACATTCCCTTTAGAGTCAAATTCTAAATTCATGTTACTTAAAAAGGCCTGAATCCATAGTGGAATAGTGAGGTGAGCCTTGAGTATTGTACATATTATTACTCAAATAATATTTATTGAATTGAATATAATGGATTGCAGTAAAAGTCAGGGCACCATGGCATATGGTGTGCAATAAGAAAGAAAAAAGGAGAAGGTATTTTTGGAGAGGAGCAACTTGTCTCACTTGTCCACAATGTCTGTGCTAATATTTGTTTTCTTCCTTTACTTTCTATTGCTTCTGAGAATTTTCTGCCAGCATTCTGACTTTTATAGAACCTCAGGATTATTTTTTTAATTTGAAGGTATTATGTTGCAAAGTATCTAATCCAATACCCTTGTTTTACCAATGAGGAAGTGACTTCTTTCAGCAAGTTAGATGAGGTTAAATAATGGAGCCCATAAATGGGAAAGCTAGGCCAAGAATCAAAGCTCTTGACTTCTATTTCAATGCTATCATCTCCTACTGCACATTAATTCTTCATTTGCTCCAACTCAAGTCCAAAGACAGGAACAAATACAATTCAAAAGGCAGGTCATTTTGGAACCAACCTTTTTGGGAATCATTTTTCAAAGAACTATTGGAGGAAGAAGGTAAGATTTAAGATGAGAACATAAAGTTTCTTCAAATTTTGCAAATGTCTGAAAAGACTGTTTAAATTCAGGGTGCAACAATTGACTTTCAGTTCAAGGTGCAACAATTTGATGCAATTTGATGGTTTTAAACAGCATATGTCACTAACATAACGTAACTACTTTCTAAAAAATTTTACTATCCCAGGGATGAAAGGGCTGCAGAGAACCATTAAAGTCATTAAGTCAACTTTCCTACCTTCAGGCAACCTGTTGAGAACTCATTTTCATTTTAAGGACCCTTAGAAAAGGAAACTTTGTATTCTCTCTTTGGATCCTATAATAAGTTACTCTAACATTATGCAGAAATTCTTCCTTATATAACTTACATCACAGTTGCTACAACTTAAACCAGTAGCTTTTTCCTACATTTGTTAACATGATAAACAAATGGCTACCATTTTTGGAAGAATGGAGGGAATTACCTCACTGTTTTTACTTTCATACATTTTTGTCCCACTAGATTTAGTAGACATATGCTTGGTCATCAACACTATGTTGCTAATTTAATTTTACAGTGTGTTTCACTTCAGCACCAACATGTTCTTCATCTCCCAGTTTTCACTTTGCTGTACACTTTGGGGCTCCTACTCTGAAACTTATGATGCTGAATGCTACCCTGGTTATTTCTGATACTACAGTAGACCAGGATTTTAGAGTAAAATACCCTTGGGCTTGAGTTTCTGGCCTCAGAACTTGCTGAATGACCTAGGGAAATGTCTTACTCTCTGAATTTCTATTTCTTCATCTTTAAAAAGAGATGATTTAGTTAAGACCATTAGTAGAATACAATATATGTTATAAGGATACAGATCAAAAGTGGAATTGCCATATACTCTAGGGCCCTCATA